TGATTTCTTTTCCCAAAAGCTGATGCCATAATTATTGGCTTTTTTAAGCGCATCAGGCAAGAGAACCCCAATTTTGTGCAGTAACAGTTTCTTGCAGAGGAGTGACATGCTCTGATTTTCTTCTTCAAATGGTCAGATTGTGTGGCGCACCTGGAACTCTCACCCTCTGGTGCAGGAGGGTCAGATGGTGCAACCGCTTTGGAAACCAGCGTGTCACTTTCTTATCAAGGTACACATATGCCTGATGACGCAGCAATCCTCTTCCTAGGTATTGACCAAAGAGAAATGAAAGCTTCAGTCCACAACATGAATCACACAAATATACTCAATAGCAGCTTTATTTAAAGATTCCCAAACTGGAAACAATCTGAATATCCATTAACAGGCAAGTAGACAAACACATGAAGGCATGGTCACACAAGGAAACACCATTCAGAAAGAAAAAGGAATAAATGGTAGATATTTATGGGAATAAGAATTAGGTTCAAAACGTTATGTTGAGCAAAAGAAGCCAGACACAAGAGTGCATGCTGGTTGATTCCACTTCTGTGAGTTTCCAGAGCAGGCAAAACTTTGTGTCTATCTGTCTACTCCGACAGAAATCAAACCAGTGGTTGTCTTGGGTGTGGATATTGACTAGAGAGGGGCTGGTAGGTGGGGAGACTTGGTGGTGAGTCTTGGAAGTCTTGGGCGGTGTGTGGGAGGTTTGAGGACAGAGAGGAGTCCTGATGAATGCCAGGTGATTCGACTCCCGCCAGCATTGAGGCCCCCTTAGAGTTCGAGGTCATGAATTTAGAGTGAGGCCATGGCCATGGCATGCATGGCTGTGCTTCCCCAAGTTCAGCTGCACAAGTGCACAGGCGTAGGATGCAGGATTTAACCAGGGTGTGGTTTTGCCAAGTGAGTAAGAGGAAGGGAGATGGGCGAAGGAGTTGAAGTTTCTTATACCAAATTATTCCTTATTCCCATCAGAAGGAAGACTTTCCTTTTGCTGCCATAGAGAAAGCAATGTCCCCGAATATGTACGAAACACTAATAGACCCCTAACAATCTTTCACCCCACTTCTCCTAGTCAGCTCTGTCCAGCTCCAGGGGTTCAGCTGGGGCCGCCGGGAGCCCTGGGCTCTTTGAGCAACTGGAGCCTCTGGGAATCTTCATACACACTACCTCCTTGAAGATAGCTCAGCAGCACATTTAAAGCACCTCCTACCACACCCACAGCATAGAGCACCGTGAGATAAAACTAAACCCCAGTGCTGTTCTGCAGCCGACTGCAATCCAAACATCAATGTCTCACCTACATGCGGATTCCCCAGAATATGGCACAAGCAGTTCACTCTTGACCACTGGAGGCGAGCAGGCAAGAAAAGGGTGGAAAAAGTGCAGGGAGAAGAGGAGGAGGGGATAAAGAGCAGTCCTAGGGGTTCAGCGTCTCCATGGGTTTTCCTACTTGACAGTCAATGATGTTACATTCCTAGCAAGGAGATGCCTCAAGGCTCCTCGGTCCCAGTCCTTTTGCCAGCTCATGGCTCAGTTCCTCCAGGCTTTGGCCAGCAATGCATCTTGGGATGCTGACAAGGGCACTTTACCAGTTCAAATCCCTGCTCTGACTCTCTGTGACTGGCCATGTGAGGTGTGACAATGTATATTACCTGCATATTATTAATGCATATACTGTCCCTATATACAGACAGGAGGAGTTGTCTGGGGACAGATGGTCTTCCTGAGTCTCCTGGTGAAGCCAGAACTTGCAACAGCAGCAGGAAGAGCTGTCCTACCTCTGATGGGTTACCAGTGGCTGCAGGCCTGGTTTACTGCCCTGCCCAATATGGCACGGAGCCTGGGACCCAGGCAGGAGACAGAAGAGGCTGCACTTAGGTGTTCCACCTGAGTTTTATGACTAGATTTGTCAGCTCAGTTCCCTGAATCCTGGTTACTCAGTCTACCTGTAACCCACCAGCCTTCATGGTCAGTGGGAGAGTGGTTGTCCTCTGGAGGTGGGGTTAGGAAGGATGGAGACCAGCATCATATCTGAAAAGCTCAAGACCTTTCAGCTGGTCCTAGGCTCCCAGCACCATTGGGCTGGGTGGACCAGATGGGCAACTGCAGGAGGATGGGGCATCCTGGACTTGGCTCTGCCCTTTGTCTCTTGTACCCTCATCCTGTGTACCTCTCCCACGCTTGGATGGACTGCTCCAGTGGGACAGACCTGACTTTCTCAAGAATAACCAATCTATGGTCTGGAGACCACGTTCAGAGGCAAGGTTGTAGTCCAGCCTGATGAAGATGCTAGACATGCAGGCTCAGCCAGTCTGTCGCCAAACTCACAGCCATGGAAGATTTAGTTATTGTAAGGTGTTCTGAAACATACTTGGTCATGCTTCTTTCTAGCTCTAAACTTTCCCTCAAAATCACCTATTGGGCTATAGCTTGAAATTGGTTGAAATCAAAATAGTTCAATCCAATGATCACATTTATAAATCATTCTGAATACAGCAGCCCAACCTAAATCTCAACTTATCCAAAAATCATCTCCATGGTGGCAGGCCTATTCATTCCTAAGATTCCATTATGTGCTGGGAAGGATTCGAGAAAGGAAAAACACCTGGTCTCTGCCTCTGGGACCTAACAACAGAGGGGAGAGGGGGACACGCCAACAGAACTGCACACAGCAGGATGAAGAATGATGAGGGACTCTCGGCATGTGACCCTTTAGCATGCACGGTTTCCACTCTGCAAGAGGGATGCCTGTGGTCCATGACAACTACTGTGAGACCTGCTGCAAGGCCAGTGTAGCAGAGTATCCACAGAAGAACCCAACAGCAGTGGTTACTAACCAGGATGCTATTGGCATTTGGGGTGGGATGATTCTTTGTGTGGGACCGTCCTGTGCATTGCATTCTAGGCCTTCACCACTAACAGCCCATGGTAACTCTCAGTCTCTGTGACAACCAGCACCGCCTACACACTTCCCTGGGGGTGGGAAGGTAGTACTGACGAGGTCACCACTGCCCTGGGGAATCCAACCACCAGGGGTCCATGGCTCAAGGCAATTGTGAATTCTCGGCTCCTAGCTACTCGGGCTTTCATTATGGTGAAGTGGTGGGGGTGGAGAGGAAGGGGGCAGAAGTGGAGGACAGCACCCAGGCCCTGGTTGCAGGCCCAAACCCACCTGGAGTGGACCTCTGCTGTCTTTAGCCGCCTAGCCATGCACTCTCATTTCCTCTAGCAACAGGTTACCAAAATTGCCGTTTGTCTCTTCCCTGCTCTCAGTCCTCACACCTTCCGTGGACTTGACCCTCAATTCCAAAGATGGTTGTGCAAGCCAAAAGTGGCCAATCAGAGCTGCATTCCCCTGCACAGAGCCTGAGCTCCGGGAGGGACACAGCACCTAATCAGAGCCCCATCAGAGGCCTTTCACCGCTGGGAGACAAGCCGCCTTCCCTGCCAGACTTGACCTTCAGAGGCTGGAGGGCTGTTGCTGCCGCAGCCATCTGGTGGGAAGAGCCTGAGTGAGAAGGGAACCTGGGCTGCAGAAGCAGATGGAGAGAAACAGGTTCTGGGGGCGTGGCCTGCGCCCCGGAGCAAGCCGCGTCTGAACCGGAACTTTCTCTTGACTCTTACAGGAATCAAGACATTCTCCCTTCGCTCAGGCCGGTTTGGTTTAGGCTGTCCAACATTTACAACAAAAGGGGACTTGCTATGCCGGAAAAAGGAGCTAAGCGTCTTCAGTCAGAGGAGCCGTGCTGACGGGAGGCAGCAGCCATGGCCTGCCCCGTCCCCTCGGCTGTGTCTACGGACCCCATGCCGCGCCGGAGGTCAACACTTTTCCTCAGAAGGCTGGCTTCCCAGAGAAGGTTCCTGTCAAGCCTGTTTAGGAAATTCTGGGATTGGGAGGTGATAGGTGGGCACTGGGGTTCCTGGTGACTGATCTGGCCCGCCCTGCCCAAGCCCGCCTGCCCTATTGCAGGTAGGCCAGCTCCCTGCCTCCCCAGGGGCTGTCCTGCTGGGTCCTAGCCTGACCAGCTCTTGCAGGCACAGCAGGTCACCTGGGCATGGCTCTGTGCACTCTACTGCGTGAGTTCAGGGCTGTCTTCACCCCCCTGTGACCCGCCCCCTCGTATCCTCTGGCCATTACTGCTGCGTCAGTGCCTTCTGGACTCCCAGGCTCTGCCATCTGCACTTCTTTGCCTGGGGGCTTTCTCTCTAGAGTGGACAAAAGTGCAAGGGAATTAACCACCTCCCTCCCAGCAGCCCTTAACCCATGACTGACAGGCTGGGTGTATAAACACCCAGCTTTCCCCCTTCAAGTAGGATTACTCTGAGATGTGTATTCTGTTTCCCAGAGTTGTCCCAGCAGGATTAAACTTCAGTTGCCCTGGGTGGCCACTGGACCCGTATTGACTGTGCTCCTTTCCCTGTTTCATACCTCGTTCCTCTACTGGTGTTTCCTGGAATCACTTGGAGTTAGGATCTTGGCTGCTCAGGAGCTAGATGTCAAAACCTACGAGGCTCTGGCTGGGTGAAGCTAAGTCATCGAGGCAGACCACAAGCTTGCAAGCCATGCCTTGCCCTGCCCCTCCTCCATCACAGGTGAAGCTAAATGAAGCCATTTCCCAGAGCCAGAGTGTTCCTGGGCACACGGCCTCAGTCCTCCAAGGTGCAGGCCTGGAAAGGAGCCAGCGTATGCCTCTTGTTCCCACTAACTGGGATCGCCACCTGATGGAAGTGCAGTTGACTAGTCATGTTAGGTAATGAATTACGTTGTATAATTCCTGCTTTTAAAGTGGGAAAATCTGAAACAATTTGTTCTGCGAGCATGTGTGGAGAACTTTGCCCCCACCTTGGATCCCAACAGGAACCAGGGCAGGCTCCCACCCTGGTTGACCTGGGGCTCACAAAGTCACCAAGGTCCCCCACACTTACCTCCCAACCCATTTGCCAAGTCCAACTTTTGTGTCTCTGGGTAAAACACATTAAAGAAACAGAATTCTTTTTTTTTTTTTTTTTTCTATTTTGGTGACAAGAGAGATCCTTGATGGAAACTGGATCTGTAAAAAAAAAACGAAGACGGAGTCATTAGTTCAGACAATACTTCACAACCCCCGAATTCTGGTGGCTATGCAGTTTTATGGCCTCAGGGGTGAGGGTTCAGCAACTAACATCCTCCTGTGGAAAAATAAATTATTTAGGATTCAAATTTCTCCTATTCTCATGTCTGCTCTTCCTTTCTCCCCAACACAGCCAGACAGAAGCTGTTTTTTCCCTTCAGGCTGTACTGCGTTTATGCAAAGTGCCTGGCTTGTACTTGGCTCAGTCAGTGTTGGCATCTTCTGCTTCCTCTCCCTCCTCCAGGGCCCCCGGCAGCTAAGATGGAGCCTCGCTCCCCAAGAGCTAGGCTGTGGGGGTGAGTTTTATCAGTTCAGTGCCCAAAAGGAGAGGGGAAGCAGCCTTTTCCTTTTAGTGTCTTCTCATTTGCTGGTAGGATGCTGGGAAACCACGTTTTAGAAAAGAAAATTCTAGAAACGTCTTTTCCCAGAGAGGAGGCTTTGCCATTGTCATCAGATGGTTCTTCCCTCTCTGAACTGAGGACACCTATCTGTCTGTTTCCCTTCCACAGGGTCTAATTTCTGAGCCTATGAAACTCAAGATGACCTGGCATACCCCCACAGTGTGTACCCCCGCAGCGTGCATGCACACGGACCCACACACACCCTCAGGGAGGCTTTCAGTGGCTAAAGCACTTCACAAACCTACAGGTCTGTGTATTGGAGCTCATCCTGCACACAGCTACCATATCCCCTTCTAAACCCATTCCTGCCCGTTGTAGTGGGTGCTACTGGCTGCTCCCCGCAAGTCCACTCTCATTTCTTCCTTACTTGCAGGGGCCCCATTTGGTTTGGATGCCCCCACTCCTTTGCCCAGCAAAGGGAAGCAACCTCAGCCCCAGCCCTGGGGGAGAACGTAGGGATAGGTCTGGAAAGGTCTGATCCAGTCATGATAATTTAACCCCCCTATGCTATTAATTTGCTTCGGAAGGCCCATGAGACCCAATTCAGGGGCATGTCACCCAAGTGAGAGGGCAAGTATGCCAGGGGAGGGGGCTTCTGGGAAAAGTTTCTTAACTCAAGAAGAGACACAGGAGGAGGTGGGCTTTTCTGTGCTTCTGGCTGTCAGGGTCTGAGGGTGTGACTCTGGGAGCTCCTCCAGTCATCCACCCAAGAAGGCAACTAGCCTCCCCCATCTGCTGAGGATGGCAGAGCTGAACACTGGAAAACTCTCCAGGTCTCTGATGACTCTGTTGAGTGAACCAGCCCTGACACTTCCCAACTGTTCTGTTGTCATGTGAGATAATCTCCTTATTGCCATTTTGAGTTAGGTTTTCTGAAATTTGCAGCACCAGGTAGTCTAACTCATAATCCACTTATCAGATCAAGTCTTCAAGTGCCTGTGGCGTTTGGAAACCTACCAATTCATTCTTTCATGTTACAACTGAATTAAAAAGACAGGAATCAGAGTAAAACACTTTCCAGTTTACAAAGCACCTTAACCATGGGAGGGAGGTAAATTTCATTCAGCTGTCAAGCTAAAGACTGTTTCTCAGGAAGCAGTGAAAACTCTGTGCACCCGGAAGGGTTGGCATTGAGAGCAGTGATCGCAAAGGCAGGATGCCTGGGAAGGGGGAGCTCAGTAAGCACCTGGATCTGCCCATCCAGTCAAAAGCTGATGAGGCCATGAACCTGGGTGCTGGTGCAGGGTCCTTCCTCTGTTCACTTTACAGATGGGTATGAGTTCTGGCACCAGGAAGGGGAAGCACACATCTGTCTGTCCACACTCAGCTGGAAACAGAACAACAAGCAGAAAGGAAGCAGCTGGATCCTTATGTTCAGAGGCCACAGCCCTGCTCACCAGCCCTTACCACTGAGATACTTGTCTCTGGGTGGCCTTTCCCTACCTGTGGACGCCACCTGTTGACCTGAGCCTATCTGTTCTCATCACCTCCGGGAATTTCCTGGGACCCCGTGTGCTCACCTAGACCCAGAGTGGACCCACAGTAGGTGTCTTCTCTGCATGCACCTTCCTTCACTACCAGAATTCTCAACACTGGCACCTTCCAGGCCTGGGTTCCTGGCCCTTTGCTCTATCCATGCTCTCCCCGTAAGTCATCTCAGCCACTGCCTAGGGCTTTAAAGCTCAGCTATTGCTAATGACTTCTATGTTTATAGCTAAGACCTGGCCTGTCCTGTGAGCTCCATATATCCACCTGCCTATTTGACATCTCTGTCTGACTAACATCCCAATATTAACAACAAAACAGAATGCTTGATTTCCATCCTTTCATGTATCTTGCTCCTCCAGCAATGAGGCTTCCCTTTCTCTCATCTGTCTCATCCAATCTATCAGCAAGCCTTGCTGGTTCTACCCCCACAGTATACTGTTCACTGTCCCCTCCACTGCCATCACGTGTTCCCAGCACCATCTTTGCCGGCCTAGATAGAGCAAACCATTCCTTACCCCTTACCCTGTTGTCCTCCCCACCTTCCCATTCTCAGCCTCCTGTGATTGTTTTGAAATCTAAACCAGCAGTTGGAGATACTCCCCCGAGGCGGGGATGAAGGAGTTCATTTATGTGAAGCACCAAGAACAGCGCCTCCACACAGGAAGTGCTGTGTAGGAATTTTCTATTGCCCTGCTCCAGTGGCTTCCCACTGCAACTAGAACACAATGGGACCCCCAAAGCCCTACCTTACCTGACCTTGCCCTCCCCTCCAGTGACATCCCGATGACCCCAGCTCTAGCCATATTGGCTGCTTCTCTGGCCTCCAAACATGTTAGGCTCCTTCTTGCCTCAGGGCTTTTGGATTTGCTGTTCCCTCTGCATAGAACACTCTTCCCCCAGATTTGCACCGTCTGGCTCCTTCTGCCACCTGTGCCTCAGTTCAGAGAGGCCTTTGCAGACCAGCCTGTCTCCTGCAGCATCCCCTCCTGATCCCCCCTCCCCCCTGCCTGGTTGCTCTTTATCAGATCAACGTTATATCGTTATTTCCTTGATCACTTTTACCACCAAATCAAATGATCCCATTTATTTGTGGACTTGCCAGTTGTCTATCTGTGCCCACTAGAACCTAGGCTCCCTCGGGGGAGGGCGCTTGTCTGTCTTGATTTACTCCTGTAGCGCAAGGGAGGTGCCCAAGAAATATTTAAGGAATGAGTGCATAATTTAATCAACAAACACTCCCCATCTGGATTCTGCCTCCTGGCTTCGCTGTCAGGTAAGTGTTTATGTCTCCATCGGGGTTATTACCCCATTCCTGTGCCTGGGAGCCTTGGCTACCCTAGATCCACAGACTCAACCAGACCTCAAAGTCCCAGCCTAGCCTCAGCCTGTCGGTGGACTTGGCCGTCCACTCCCCACTGGCCACCATGTCTCACAGAGTCTATTGTGGTGTGGTTGGTACTGACATGTGGCAGCTGGGCTGACCCGCTTGTCCATTTACATCTTCACAGGGGTGTGGGGAGATGGGGGAGTTGGGGTGGGAGACACCAGACTGACCAGTGTCCAGGAACTGCGACTAAAACTTCTGGGCTTCCAGAAAGGTCTTCACTGACCCCTGCTGGTGGTGCCTTAATTAGACCTCAGACCCACAGGGTCCACTGAATGACGTGGGGAGATGACACAGCAGCCTGGGCTCTGGCAAAAGCAAGTCTGGAAGAAGTAGGGCCTGGTCACTTAAGACACATCCAAGCACCTGGATGCCAACGAGCATCCATCCCCACACTGGTTCCCACACAGTCTCCAGAACAGCCATTCAACAAAAGCAGTGGGTCACGTGGGGAAAGGCCATCTCATCAGAATCTCCGGGTGTGGGCTGTGGGGCCTGGGAAGGACCCTGCCTCAGGCCACAACATGGGGGCGGGGTGGGTGGCACAGTCTCCCTCTCCTTCCAGGGAAACCAGAGCGGTTAGAGGACAGCTCGGTGTGGAGAGGCAGTCTGTTCTGGAATGACCCGCCTGTCAGGATGAAGTTCTGTCCCTGGGTGTTTTCGTTTGGCCCTGAGAAAGCTGCACCCTAACCCTGCAGCAGGCAAGGGGTCCACCCTAAGGAGACAGAAGGGGTCACCCCCAGCGCAGAAGAAAGAATCGGAGCTGCGTGAAATCCGCATAATGCACGGGTTTGTAAGCGGTGTCAGCGATGCTGAGGCCCCAGAACAAGCCCCACCGGCCACTTGAACTGCCACCCCCAACACACACAGCTTTGGGGGATGTAGTGAAGACTGGATTCAGTCTCTGGGGAGCCTTGTTGACTTAGCCACCAATTCAGACTCTCAGCTAGTCCCTGAGAAGCAACCTACTCCAGGCCCAGGGCTTTCTGGACACAGAGAAAGTTCAAGGAAAGGCCCTGAGATGAGTAGCAACCTCTGGCCCCACTGCTCCCACTGCCTCCTGTCTGGTACCCATGACTAGGGGAACCTCCCAGGTCAGTGGGGGTTTGGGGAACTCTGGGTTGACAATCCCAATAATGAGTCTGGCATTGTCTAAGAGCGTCCAGGGATGCCCGAGAGAGCCATGCCGGATGACCCTGCATCCAGGAAGGAGTCACTCAGTTCTCAAGCTTTCCCTGAGAGGCTGGGGGGCTTGGTCCACCAGGAAGACCTCTTCCGTTCAGAGAAGGGACAGACACTCCATCTGCCCTGCGCTGCAGGGATGGCACGTCAGTGGGCTTGAGGATGGCTTCCGCAAAGGGCAGTGGGCACGAAGCGGGGCCACATACCTGCCGGGCTGCGGGCCTGGGGGTTGTTCACAAGGATTCAGTGATGTAGTAGGCAGCTCCCAGGGCCCCCAGAGCCACAGCAACAGTCCCGAGGGCTTGGAGCACGTGAATTGCGGTGAATGGAGAGTTTTCTTGTAGGTCTCCTATAAAGCAAAGCAGAAAGCCCAGAGCTTGGGAGAAGTTGAGTTGCAGTGCCTATCTACAGGCAGGGGAAAGCAGAAATTGTGGGGTCCCCTCAGGATGGCAGGAATACCCATCTCCCCCTACCAATCCTTCTCTCAAGGGAACACAACTCCCACCACCCCTTCCAATAAAGCTCTCCCACAAGACCCCTCGAGATCTGAGAATGGGCCAGCCTGAGATGCCCGCTCCCCTGGACAGTCAGGGAGCAGGTTACCAAGGTGGTCAGGGCCACTGTGAGCCAGGCCCTGTGCTAAACACCTCCCACTCAGTGTCTTCCTCAAGCCTCACCACAACCCCGTGAAGGAGGGTCTATCACATAGTGCCATTTTGGAGATGAGGAATCTGAAGAAATGACATATTAAACCCCCGACAAAGGCAAGGAAAAGATATGATTATGTTAATAATTGTGGAGGCGGCTTTCACAAAATGTAATATCCATTTTGACAAAAATTCTACTAAAGTAGGGATTCTTATTTAATGTGAACGTGTATTTAAAGCCAAGAGCCAACATGCCACTCCACTGAGAAATGTAAAATTATGGAAGCAGGAGCTAAAATTTGAACAGAAGGAAGACTACAGGTCTTACCCTGGCCACACTGGATCTCTGCACCTTCCGCCCGACTTTCTGAATTCTGAGTCTTGCTTTTGCCATCTCCTCCACCTAGAATGTTCTTTCTTTTCGTGTTAAGCCATGGAGGGTCACAAGATCTTTCAGACTCAGCACGGATACCACTGACACTCTAAAGTTTACCTGGACCCCAATTTAGGAGACAGCACTCTCCTTGTCTGAAGCTCTGTGAACATCCCCTACAGCAACATCACCTTCTGGCTTACATCTTAGTTTCTAAATGTACATGTTTTAGCTTACCACATAGCCTACACTTTTTAAGGGTAAATTTCCCTGTTCTGGTTTCCCTCACAGCGTCCTAGGCAGAGTAGGGTTTCCCACTTGCTGGTTTTAAAGTCATACGAATCCATGGCACAATTTGGTACAGATGGATGGATACACTAAGCGCGTGGAAGGACAGTCGGCAACGGTGAGTGGCGGGCAGGCCCTTCCTTGATGGGACTTACCAGGTAGTGGAGTATTTTTAGCTCTAAGTATGTTCTCCCAACACACCTGGGTATCTGTTTCTCTTCCTTTGTCTGAGAGATGGTGCTTTTCAAGGATGGACAGGAGAGGAGATTTGGTGGGGGAGGGGCCGGGAAGAGGAGCAAGATGGGTTTGGGGGATGGGTGGGCTCTGTTCCTGGGTTAGGGGTCTGAGATCCCCAAGTGGAAGGCCTCTTCCGTGGACCTTGTGAAACCCCGAGTGCAGGTGGAGCTGCTCTGGGGCCCAGAGCTGGGGGTGGGCGGAGGCCCCTCTCCCACACTTGCCCCTAGCCCTGCCCCCCTGCATAAATGGAGCAACATCTTCACTCCAGTTCCCCCAAAAAGAGGTCTTCTTATGAGGGGAAGTAGCAGCCACCAGGTTTCTCCTGGTGGCTTTGTGGAAGAGAAAAAGAAGGACAGATAGTGGGGATGATTCTGTGGGGGGCTGCCCTGCCGTGGACAGACCAGCCTGGGGACATCCTTGGTGGGGACTGCCAGAAATAGCCTGAGACCCTCTGAAGGGGGTGGAGGTCTTGCTATCACCAGGGGGCATGTGAGTTACAACCACATTTATCACTAAATTCTGAGGGAAATTCACATGCAGGTCAAGAAGCTAAAGCGCATAGCTCCAGGATGGGCCCCAGAAGGAGCCCAAAGAGAGCGTTTCAACACAGAGCTTCCGAGTGACTCAGAATTTCTGAAGGCAGTGTGCTCTAAGGAAGGAGGGTGCCTACAGAGAAGAGTAAAGTGGAGCCCCTGAAGAAGCAATTCCCCATAAGGAAGAAAACCGGCACCTCTCTGTGCAGGTAGGGACCGTGGGGGGTGGGTCTGGCCAGAAAGGGCCAGGCACCAAATCCCAGGAAGTGGCCTCCCCGAGGGAAAGCCTTTCCTTTCAGCCCAGGATTCCCAAGAGGAAGTTACACACAACTGCTAACGGTGTCTCGAGCAGAGCCTGGCCCTGGGAACCGCGTGCCCTGAGCGTCCAGCCCTCCACTCGCTCCAGAACCTGTAGAACGTGAGGAGGTTTGGGAGTTCTCTTCCTGGGATGGTGGGCCAGGCCCGAGGCAGAAGGACATCAAAGATGTGGCTGTGACACAGGCCCAGACGACGCCAGCAAGCAGACCTGCTGGGGCAAGCAGCACAGGAACAGAAGGGGTGCGGGCCCGCACGAGTCAGAGGCCCTGGGAGAAGAGAAAAAGAGAGAGATGAGGGACCCAGCTGCCCCCAGGAGGTGTCGACAGGAGAGGAGGCGTGTCTACAGGAGAGAAGACTAACTGCCTGCAAAACTAGTTGTTTGATAGGCTGGTGCTACCTGAGAGTCATAAAAATCATCATGATGTCATAGCTCACGCTTGTGCGGTTCTCCAGGCTTCACGTCATTATCCAGCTTATTTGTCAGAACAATCCTGTGAAGTGGAACATTGTTATTCTCAGTTTACAAAAGAAGGAAACTGAGGCTCAGAGAATATAAAGGATATGCCCTGAGAGCAAGTAGATTGAAGAAGCCAGCTTCAACTCAGGATTTTTTTTTTAAAAGATGGGCACCTGAGCTAACAACTGTTGCCAATCTTCTTCTTCTTTTTTTTTTTTTATTGCTTTTTCTCTTCAAATCCCCCCAGTGCATAGTTGCATATTTTTTTCAGTTGTGGGTCCTTCTACTTGTGGCACAACTCGGGACTTCTGTCAATTTGGTGCTCTTTCCATGGAATTCTCAGGAAGCGATGGCAGCAGGTGACTGTCTGCCCAAAGAGGCGACAAGGAGATTCCTGCTACTGGATCTGCCACGTTCCATTTTTCCGGGATTCACTGATTCATTCGGAAGACAACCATTGCTCCAGGTTACAGTCCTTGAAATACTTTCCCAAACTTATCTCCCATTTCTGCCCTCCTGTGCTGTGGATCCCAGCAGAACTCGCAGATGGCGCCCTCTGCTGCTACACGAGAGGACATCTTGCTGGATAATTCGCTCTTCATGCAGCCTCTTCTGTCCTGGCTTCTTGAGAGAGCTCTAGATTCTTTTCCTTTATTTTTTTAAAGTATGCTTTTTTTTTTTGTTTTTGGTAAGGAAGATTGGCCCTGAGCTAACGTCTGTTGCCATAATCTTCCTTTTTTTTTTTCCTCCCCAAAGCCCCAGTACATAGTTGTGTATCCTAGTTGTAGGTCATTCTAGTTCTTCTATGTGGGATGCTGCCACAGCATGGCTTGATGAGTGGTGTTAGGTCTGGGCCCAGGATCCAAACCAGTGAACCCCAGGCCATAGAAGTGGAATGCGCAAACTTAACCACTCGGCTACAGGTCTGGCCCCAGAGCTATATATAGATTCTTCAACCAAAGCTCCATGAAGCCAGTGACCAACCTTGGCAGACTCAGTACACTTCCTGCTTACACCGACCCATGACAAATATTCTTCTTGAAATGGGGAAAGAGGAAATTCTAAAGGCAAGACACTTTTTTGTTTTAATTAAAAAAGTGTTTTTAAATGGACATGTAATTTCCATACCATAAAATTCACCCCTTTAAAGTGCTCAGTGGTTTCTGGTATATCCTCAAAGGTGTGCAACCATTATCACTCTCTAGTTCCAGAACCTCTTCATCTCTCCCCAAAAGAAACTCCATACCCTTTAGGAGTCACTGCCTCTTTCCCCCTCCTCCCAGTTGCTGGAAATAGATTAGCCTACTCTGGACATTTCATAAATGGAATCATACAATATGTGGGCTTTTTTGGGAGTGCCTTTATTCAGCCTAATGTTTTTAGGGTTCGCCCATGTTGTAGCATATGTCATCTCTCTTTATTGCCAAATAGTATTTCCTTGGGTGGATGTATCATATGTTGTTTATCCATTCATTGGTTGATGGACATTGAGTTGTTTCCACTTTCTTTTTTCCCCCTAACATCTGTGCCAATCTTCTTCTACTTTGTCGCTGCCACAGCATGGCTGACAAGTGGTGTAGGTCTGTGCCCAGGATCCAAACCCACGAACCCAGGCCGCTGAAGTGGGGTGTGCCAAACTTAACCACTATGCTATGAGGCTGGCCCCCAATGCTTCTAGTTTTTGGCTATGATGACTAATGCTGCTGTGAACATTTGTGTACAAGTTTCTGTGTGGATGTATGTTTTCAGTACTCTTAGGTATATACTCAGGAGTAGAATTGCTGGGTCATATGGTATTTTCATGTTTCACCCTTTGAGGAGCTGCCAGACTGTCTTCCATGGCAGCTGCACCATTTGACATTCCCACCAGCGGTGTAGGAAGTTTCGATTTCTCCACAGCCTCACCAACACTTGCTAGCCTCCGTCTTTTTGATTATAGCCATTCTAGTGGAAATCATGTATTTTCTTGAGCTAGAATATTTTCTGCGTACAAAAGGGTTTGGATTTTAGAACACGGTGTCCTTTATTTAAAGGCCCTCATCCCTTATCTCCAACATTCCTTCCCATTCTGGCTCAAAGAAAGAAAGGTCCTTTGGAAGAAGAAGAGTAGGGTCACCATTGATGAGCCACCACTGTTTTCCTGTCTTGTTTCCTCAGTAAGCAGAGCTCCTCCCCATGGCGGGAGCCGCATGCGTTCATTAAAAGATTTGGGAAGGAAAGTTTTGCATTCTTTAGATGTCAGTTCTGAAGGCCATAATCCAGAAATGTTTATCTCAGTGGTTGATAAACATAATATACATAATATATAGTAAAACACTCGAATCCATTGCCGTATATTAATAACAGATTGATTCCTAGCCGCAGAAATATGGTTGTCACTGCGATAGCATGGATTTAACACTCATGCTCACACCTCTCATTTATTTTATGTCCATACCATCCCAGAGAAATAAGCTATGGCCTGGGGAGTGTGGCCGGCTCCAGACCACAGAGCCGCGGGTACCGGCTCACGGTGGATCCAGGAGAAGCTCAGAGAAGGGTGTTCTCCTCCTGGGGAGACCCCCAGACCTCTCGGGATGGGAAGGTCAGTGCTGCAGTTAAGAGCAAGGATTCTGGAGTCAGAATAGACTGAAGATCCCCTCTTCACGCTACAGTGCCTGCTTGAGAGGGAGCTGTTTGACTTTGAGCCTCAGTTTCCCCATCTATAAAATGGAGATGATGAGACTAGTACCTCCTTCACAGGAGTGTTACATGAGCTCAACCTAGATGGCTGAGTCGGAGGCTGGGGGTGCAGCAGAGGCTCGGTGATAAATGTTGGTTAGCTATGCCCACCATTATTGGTAGGAGGATTAACCAGCCCTCCACTCTAATTTCCTCTACACAACCCAATGCTCATTCAGACTGCCTACCTGAGGAGATGGGACCACTTTTCCTGGACAGCCATTCCATTTTCAGACAGAGCTAATTGTTGGCAATTTTTTAATGTTGAGCACAAATCTGCCTGTCTATAGAGTCTTCCATGGGTAAGGTTGCCAGATTTAGCAAATAAAAATACACGACATCTATGCAATATTCAGGACACACTTATACTAACAAAGTATTTATTGTTTACCTGAAATTCAAATTTAACTGGGTGTCCTGTATTTTATCTATCCATGGCCCCTAGTCAGACATCTGAGTACAACATGGAACAAACCTATTCACATCTTCCAACTGATAGACAGATATCCTTCAGTTCCCTTGACCAATTTTCATACACCAGATGGTTATTGCCTCTCCTCACCCCTCTCATCCCCCATTAACCTGGACTATCTTCTTTGGACTAGATTGTTTGGCATCTTTTACAGCACACAAGAATGGCCTGATGAGGACAGACTATGGCAGTATGATCACCTCCCTTGTCCTAAACCACATTCTTCTATTAATGCATCCTTTTTTTTTTTTTTTTTTTAGGAGCAGCCACATGGCACTTCTGACTCCTAATGAGCTAGTATTACCACTGAGCCAAGTTAAATGTTAATATGTATGTGTGGCTGTCTTCTTCAGTGAGACTCAGGATGGTGAGGAGTGACAAAACCCAGGAATCCTGGTCTCTTGGGTAAAAACAAAATTCTCCCACGCCACAAGCACGGTTCCAGAATACACATTAACCACGCATCACTACCCGATGAGATCCAGCCACTGCGGTAGCCCTGGGACTCCGTCAGCAAGAAGGCTGGAACCGCTTGAGCTAGAAGATGCCAGCCCACCTGTTTTCCTGGACCGAGAGGATGCCTTTGCGTCAGTGTCCTGAGGCACTGGGCCCCGAGCCGAGGTGTTGACTTCAGGGGCTGGGATAGCCTGGGGTGCAGGCTGCGCTGGGGTGGATTCAGAGCTGGGCTGCGGAGCAGATGCACTGACGGGCTGCTGCTGCTGGGGGGCGGCCCCGGGGGCGGGCTGTTGCAGCGTGGCTGCAGAGCTGGGCTGTCGGGGGCTGGATTCAGAGCTCAGCTGCTGCGGGCTGGATTCAGAGGAGTGGCTGGTATGGTGGGAAGTGGAGCCATGACGCTTGGTCTCTGTCTTCTTCCTCTTGCCCTTCTTCATGGTGGACCCTCCCTACCTAAAGCTGGACCTACATGGAGCTGCCTGATCTCCCGGCTCCCTCCTGGAGGAGCCGTCTGCCCCTGCCCTGGGGGAAGGCTCCGGCCTCTGGCTGGACCCAGGCCCCCAGAGAACAGTCACTCACACCCCTCCTGTGAGGTCACAAAAGCCAGGTGGCTCCCATGGTGGGGCTCTGGGGACAGTCTCTGCCAACCCCAGCCTGCTCCTCCCTCCTCCCCAGCTACTGGGATGGGCAGAGGGCCGCTGCCGGCCCCTCACGGACCTGGTTAAGCCCGGCCGTGGAGCCTGTGACAACCTGGACCCCCGTGATTCTGCGACCGGAGCGCCTGCTTCAGGCACCTCTCCGCTGGTGTGTTCCTGGGTCCCTGTGTGCCATCTCTTTCACTCTAAGACACCCTGGTTGTGACACTCAGCTGTGTCACCGGTTTCCACATGCAAAAACCAAAAAACCCACAAGAAACTGCTTCACCATGTGTTCTGTGAGTTTTAGGTAACTTTACTGAAGATTTAGGGGTCCATGGAAGACTCAGAAGCCTTCTGCCATCTCAGCTGTCCCCCGAATCTGGTTATCTTATATAGAGTGGCTTCCCCCTTCTCCCAAAGCCTGCCCTCCTCCACTGTGGGAAGGGACTTGGGGGGCCCCCACTTTGATAAGAACCCTTGCATTTCACAAAAGAACTTCCCCCCAAAATATAACAGCTCTTTGCAAAGCTATACTTTTTCTCAGACTCATTACACTGGCAACAACAGACCACCTCTCCAACCCCAAACTCTTCGGGTCAATTAGGGGACTATGCGTCTTTCTCAAAGTTAACCAGGTGATTTTCCTTTTAGGATGGAAGAGGAAAAAGCATTTGTAAAAGACAACCTTAACCTTCACGCTTGGATTATGACATAAAATGTTCACCTTAGAAGACTCCACTTCCGCCACCGCTGCCTCACGAGGTGGGTGAGTATTAGACTGTTAGCCCCATGCGCCTGGGAGGTGATACTCCTGCCCTAGGATAAGATTTAGGGCAGACCCAGCTAGAAGGAACCCCCATGCAAGGCTAGACGTGATGTGAATTGTGAAATGACAGAAAACATTTTAGGGATCCTAGAGCCCGGAAAGACCTAAATGATTCTCTTTTTCCAGAGCAGAAACAGGTTCAGAGAAGTTAAATTACTTTTCCAAGGTTACACAGCTGGTTGGAGGCATGGACAGGGTTAAGTTCCAGTTCAGGGCTCTTTTTTTTTTCCATGACTCCAGAAGGCAACTGGGAGTCAGATCGTTATACAGGCCTTAAAATGAATGAATTAAAAAAAAATCCCTCCTGGGGCTGGCCCTGTGGCCGAGTGGTTAAGTTCACCCGCTCCACTTCAGCGGCCCGGGCTCGCAGGTTGGGATCCTGGGTGGGGACCTACGTACCGCTCATCAAGCCATGCTGTGGTGGCATCCCACATACAAAATGGAGGAAGGTTAGCACAGACGTTAGCTCAGCGACAATCTTACACACACACACACACAAATTCCTTGAGTGAGAGGACTGAAGAAAAAAAAGGCATGCAGGATTAGAAGCGAAAGGAAGCTCAGCTCAATAAAGTCAGATTGAAGTTGGTTAAGCCCTGGAGTCAGGAGGTTCAGGGAGGAGGTGAATCTATGAGAAGGTGGTCATTCCACGAAGTCAAGAGCAACAGACCCCTCGGGGGATTCAATTTAGAATCAAAGAGACTGGAAATCGGGTCAGGAACGCGGTCCAGAGTCAGCAGTCGGGTCAGGAACCCCTAAGACGTTTGTCTTTGCAAAATCAGATTTTCAGGCACCAATGGGCTTTTGACTGAGGGCCTCAGGATTTAAATCAGAGTTTCTCAACCTCAGCCCTATGGACATTTTGGGCCGGATGATTCTTAGTTGTGGGGCTGTCCTGTGCACTGTGGGAAGTTTAGCAGCCTCTCTGGCCTCTGCCCACTAGAGGCAGTAGCAACTACCCCTCCCCTCAAGTTGTGACAACCAAAAATATCTACAGACATTGTCCGTGTGTGTGTGTGCGCACGCGCTTCTGTGTGTGAAAATTGCCCCTGGTTGAGCACCACTGGTTTAAATGAATTAGATGAGGCAGACACACATGGGTAGGATTTCCTGGTAGCAATGAAGGAAACATTCCTTTTCACACCAAGGAGCCAAACAAGGCACAGAAAACAGGTCCCGGTCCCCGGGAGAGCGATGGAGGAAACACAGAAGGTCAGGCTTCGGGAGGAGTGAGTTTTCTACGGCAGTGGAGAAAATATGTGTGGGTCCTTTAGTAAGGATGGTCCTAAGAAGCACAGAAGGGCACTCGTGGAGTGAGAGCTTGGCCCAGAAGGATGAGGAAGAATGGACTGCAATGGTTCTTGGCTAGAACATCTTACCTCTGCCTTCTGGCTTGAGCACAAGTTCCTAGCCTGGCAGTCAGACCCCTCAATTACACTTCAGAGCCCGCTGTCCCAGCTTCTCAGCCAGCTCACTGCTCCCCATGCCCAGCTCCAGCCAATGGTGAGCCCCGGAGGTCTGAACATGCCTCACTTTCCTACATTTGTGGAAGCCCTTCCCCTCAATCAAGCCTCTCTCCTCCCTGTCAAAACACATCCCATCATCAAGATCCATGTCATGTGGAGCCATCTCCTCATGGAGCCTTTCTTGAGATCCCCAAGTGGAAGCGATCTCTCCCCTCGGAGCCCCGGATCACACTCGGCATGGCATTAGAACGATTTCTATCCTGGTCTTCTCTCGAGTTCCCCACTCCCAGACTGTGGGCGCCATGGAGGCCCAAGTCTAGAGAAGGGGCCACACAGAAGATGCTTGACGGGGAGGGTGGGAGGACAAGGAAACCAGGAAACTGTTGGAGGTGGGGTGGGTGTGGATGATGGGGACAAGGATCCTTGGAGACTGCGTCACTAGAAGTTTCAAAGAGGAACTGAGATTTTTCTGGCCTTTGCTGAGGATTGTGGTTGGAACAGTCCATAGCCAAGAGGCTTTCCTAACCAGGCATGCCAGCCGCGGGCAAATTTCATGGACTATTTAGAAGAGCAAGGAGAATGAGTCTAAGGGGATGCAAACTCAGGTAGTCAGGATAAGGGCCTGAGGGTGTTAATAGCCACACCTAGAAGGTCCCTGGTGGTTCTGGCCCTCTGGATGTGTCCTGGGCACCCAGAACAAGTGTGTCAACCTTTGCCCTGAAGCTAGCATCTTAGAGCCGGATGGCGCCTCAGACACTAGCTGGCCCTTGGCCACCACATGTCGGGAGGGCTATTAGTCCGCAGAGGGGACAACTTGCTCTGGTCACCAGCAGGAGGGTGGCAGTGCCCAGAGTGACTAGCCTTTGAGTTACCTGGCCCAGAGCACTTTCTTCTTCCTCACTGCCGCCCCAGGAGACAGAAGGCACTGGGTGCTCATTTAGAGCCCACTGCCCGGAGCCCTAAGACCCATGGATTTACCCTCTGCAGCCACAGGCCTGGATTCCCCCAGGAAGGGTCTCAAGGGCTGTGAATAAGAATTCTGCAGTGGGCCAGCTGCTTGAACACAGTCCCTCCCTCCCAGGGTTGTTGTGAGGATGGGATGTGAAAAGCCCTTAGGACAGTGCCTGGCTCACAGTAGGCAAGTTTTTATTACAATTATGATTCCCTTGCAGGAGAAGAGTAAACAATGAAGCAAGGAATAAGTTGGTGAGGAGAGGAGGGGGTGGGCCCCGGTCCTACAAACTCCCAAATCTGTCCCTTGCAAAAGCTGATTCCGAGTAGTGGGCAAAGGGGAAGAGGTCAGGTGGCTGGGGGGAAGGGTAACCCTCCGAATTAAGTTAGCTCGAACACTTCTGACCCTAGATTGCCCCAGTGAGCACCCCTGGGGGGAAGAATCTAGTTCATTTTCACCCAAAACGGTGTGAGAGGAGGCGCTAGGGGAGGGGTCCTGACATCAGGGATTTGTCCCCTACTCGGGACCAGCAGGGCCAGGGCAGAGGACTCCCTCCGTACTTGACGTTTCCCCACCTGGGGACGCCCCCGGCAGCCTGGCGTTCCCACACCCCGCCCTGGGGCCCCTCACCATCCGTCTGGGTCTCCCGATCCACGAAGGGGACGCAGCCCCGCGCCGCGCCCTTAAGCCCTCGGCAGGTGGCGCGCTGGACGTCCAGGGTGCCCTCGGGGCGGCTGGGGCAGAACACGGCCGTGTGCACCTCCACGGTGGGGCTGTGCGGCGCGAAGGCGCTGCAGAGCAGGCTCTCCATGCGGCGGCGCGCGTCGGCCTCCTCGTCGCGCCGCGGCTGCACGATGATCCCGACCAGCGCGGCGGGCGGGCTGCGGCCCCGGGCGTGCACCTGCTGCAGGAGCAGCTGCAGCCGCGGCAGCTGGGAGCGCAGCGCCGACGCGCGGCACAGCACCAGGAGCAGGCGCGCGCCCTGCTCCGGAGGCGCCGCGCATCCCGCCGCCGGGTCCTCTGCCGCCCCGAGGCCGGGAGTCCCGGCCGGAGCCGGAGACACCTCGCGCTCGCGCTCGCGCTCGGGCGGGTCTGCAGCCTTGCCCCTGTCGCACGGCCGCCTCTGGGTGGAGCGCTTGGACTTGGCGGCCGGGCAGTCAGCGTTGTCCGACGAGATGTCGCCGGAGCGCTTGGGCCGCCGCCTGGCGCGGTTGCTGGTGCTGCTGTGGCTGCTCGTGGCTCGGATGGACGAGGGCCCGGCGGGCTGATCGGTCGAGGCCTGCTCCAGAATGTTCTGCAGGGTCAGGCAGCACTCCTCCTGCTTCCAGAGCTCGCCCAGCAGCAGCACCTGGCCATGTCCCTCTGCGCACTGGGTCGGAGCCTGTTGCTGTGGCTCGGCCTCCCCGTCCTGCGGGGCCACGAAGGGCTCGGCCCCAGGCTCCATGCCCGGTCCGGTTCTCTTGCCCCTCTGGGCCTGAGCCTCCGTTGGCCAAGGGAAAAGCTGCCCTTCCCTGAAACATGTCACAATACCCCTGCGCCCTACCTCTTCCTGTCCTGACCAAAGGCCTCCATGCCGGTTATTCCTTGGAACTCTTCCAACATAGGGAAGTTGCTGGTGGGCGCTGGTGTTTAGTTTCTCTATCATTTTGAATGTCTTTGGTGTTAAAAGGACAAATCCTTTTATCCCAACGATGGACCATTATGCCCAAGCCTCCAAGTAAACTGGATTTTTGTGTTCCCCAGAGCATTTAAAAAGGAGTGGACCCAGATGCTCATTGCACCTGGGACCTTTGGAAATCAGTGAGGAAAAGAGAGGCTGGTCCCAGACGGCTGCTGTGGGATGCAGGCCTTACCCAGCTCAGGCGTCTGCTCCCTGGGTGGTCTGGGAGCCAGAGTCCTGGGCTGTTCTAAACTGATGGGGCTTCAGGAGACTGTCTGGGGTGCCTTCAGTTCCAGACTTTCATGAGCGTGGGTGTGAAAAATCGCTGCATCCTCTGTGTCTTCTTTACTACTCAGGCAGACCACTTCACTTCTGACGCTTCTGGTCACCAAATGTGGGCGGGTTTCCCCCACACCAAGCAACTCTGTGACACCAGCTGGGTGTCCTACAATCTCTACCTGGCTAAGGGCAGTGTCCCATAAGACTGCCAATTGGCTATAAACCTGAGGTTCCCATGACCGCCTCCTAGGGTTTGATTAATTTGCCAGAGCAGCTCACAGAACTGAGGAAAACAGTTTACTTACTGTTTATTAGTGCATCGTAGAAGGATAGGATAAAGGATACAGAGGAACATGCAGATGGAAGAGATGCAGAGGGCAAGGTGTGTGGGAAGGGACATGGAGCTTCCATGCCCTCTCTGGGCACCCCACTCTCCCCCAGCCTTCACGTGTTCACTAGCCTGGAAGCTCTTGGAACCCCATCCTAGTGAGGTTTTATGGAGGCTTCCTCACGTAGACTGATCAATTATTAACTCCATTTCCAGCCCCTGTCCCCTCTCCGGAAATGGGGGATGGCGCTGAAAATTCCAAGCTTCTTATCCTGTCTTGGTTTTTCTGGTGACCAGCCCCCATCCAGGAGCCCAGCCAGAGTTGCCTCGTAAAACAAAACATACTCTTATCATCTGGGAAACCTGAAGGGGTTTAGGGGCTCAGTGTCAGGAACTGGGGGCAGAGGCCAAACATTAGAACAAAAGATGCTCCTAGTGCTCTTATCACTCAGGAAATTACGAGGGTTTCAGGAGCTCTGTGCCAGGAACCAGAGGCAGAGAGACCAATATATATATTTTCTGTTATTTCATAGGATACCGGAGGTCTGTCAAAGTGCCAGAAAGATCCTCAGGAAAACAAAATGAAACAAAAACATAAAAAAACATAAAAACTCCTTATCTTCCTGGCACACAAGATGTGCAAAGAGAGCTCTGTGGAGGGGGGACAGAGGTACCCAGGACAGCCACAGTAACTGGGAACTCAATGGTGGGGAAGATTTCTCCCTTTGTTATTATTGTTTTTTTAATGAGCTGTAGCAGGTTGTTTAAAATGATTTTGAAAAATACAAAATTTAAAGACTCTGGAAAGCAAGCCGTGAAGCAGAAATCCCCGTGTTGGAATCCCGCTAAAAGCTCCAGGAGCCCCAGGCCAGGGAGCCTCAGGAAGACCAGGTAAAGGCAGAAGGTCCCAGTGGCTTTGCAGAGCCAGGATGGACAGTGGTGGGGGACTCTGTTCCTCTGTCCTGGTTTTTCATCCTTGGCCCAAAGAGACTCAGCTCACCCTCCATCTGGACCGTGTCGCTGGGAACACTTCCAGCCAGCTCCCCCTTTCTCAGCAAGTCTGAAAGGTCAGAGTCAGAATTCATTGGTGGACTTTCTCTTGGGCACAGGGTCACTGTATTGAAAAATGATGCTAATTTCATCCAGGATGAATGAGACCTGCCAACCCCACCGCAAAGGTGGACCCGAGTGTAGGAGTCTCGATTTAGATTACCTTGGGAAGTAGGGACCCCTACCTGGGCCTGGGCTTGACCTGTGCTTTCTACAGCAGCTTTTATCAACAAGTCTTGAACTGGCGAGTACCAGTTTAGGAAGGACTAGAGGTTCCACACTCCCCAAACACAGATGAACTGACCTGTAAGGAGGGCGGGGTGCTTCCCTCTCCTGCTCTGTCCCCACTGACTGGGGGCAAAAATGGCTCAAAGCCCGCCAGTGGTCAGCACCGTGTTCTTCATCGTCAGTTCTATCTGATCTGGACAGCGCTATCAGAGGACCCTCGTATTAAACTGTGTGACATAGTGGACTGCTCTTCATCAGAGGGATAATTCAAGTGCCATGGACAAAGCATCCCACTGAGGCCACGCCCCTGGGCACAGTGAAGCCACAGCATGGGGAGAGGAGCAGGGAGGTGGCAGAGCTACCAGCTTCCGTGGGACCTTACGGAGTGGGAGGACAGAGGCTGGAGTCAAGCCATCTCTAGGTTCTTTGAGCTTTTTGTTGGGAGAGAGAAACTTAGGGCAAGAAGTGGCCCTAAAGTCAGGAGCTCTATGAGCTGGTATTCAAAAGTGAGTGCTGACTCCTGAGCATATACTTTGAAGGGGAGCAGAATATGCCACCCCAAAATGTGCCTTTTTTGCATGTGGATTATTTTGAGCGGAAGTCAATGAAGATCCAACAGACTTAGGAAAAGCCTTTTTTCCTCTCTCTTAACATCCGTGAAGAATTTAGAAAAGGGACCTGTACCAGAAAGAGAGCTATCACCAGAGATAACTTTTTTTTTTAATCTGAGAGACTTGTCTGCAAGGCAGGGCAAACATCTGATTGTCAAACATCCTCTCCTCTCATCTCCCTGTGAATGGCTCACCTCCCCTTAGAAGCCCCAGGCCCCTATCCGTGTCCTTAGCTCAGGACGGGATCTAAGCCTCAATTGCCTGACTGCCTTAGAGTCTCATGTTTTCATGGGGCTCCTGTATGTGTGAAATTAAATTTGTTTTTCTCCTGTTAATTGTTCTTATGTCAATTTAAGTATTAGACCAACCAAAGAACCTAGAAGGGAAGAAGGGAAAATTTTTCCTCCTTGAAAACTTTAAACTCCTTCGCAGCTCATCTAAGTTGATTTAATTAAGAGACTCAGATATATTGGCTTAGAAATGGCATTTATTTCTTCTGAGGTCAGTGATCCAGGTGTGGTGGGGAGGCTCTGCCACCCTCAACAGGTGGCTTCCTTTCCTACCTCCAGGGCAGCTGGCCCAGGACCCTTCATCTCCTAGCCAGAGGGAGGACGGAAAGGCAGAAGGGAGGGGAAGGCAGTGTCTTTTCTTGACTTGGAAGTTGGGCACGTCATTTCCACTTACATTCCATTGGCCAGAAGTAGCTATGTGACCACCTTGGCTGCAGAAGAGGCTGGGAAATGTGGCCTCTGCTTGGGTGGCCAGGCACCCAGTTAATCCTATTACAACGAGGAAGAAGAGGTGAGCAGATATTGAGGGACATTTAACACTCTCTTTTGTGTCTAATAATAATCACTCCCACTAACTGAGGTCCTTCTGTGTGCTGGGTCTTTACATATGTCATCTTTACTGCAACCCAGCAACAGAGAGGGCACCATCCCCAAGTTATAGCTGCAGAAACTGAGGCTCAGAGAGGTTAAGTAAGCTGTCCAAATTCAATTAGCTAGTGAGTGGTGGTTTGGGATCTAAACCCAGGCCTGACTGGCTGCAAATTGTAGGTGTCTGCCAGGACTCAGTAAGTACCACCATATCCTGAGGCCGAGAGGTGGGGCTCATGCTCAGTCATACCAGCTTCTGGAGGCTAATCCTGGCTGGGATTGGGGTGGGGGTGGGGGATAGAGAGGGAAGCGGAAAGGTGGGTGAGGGGAGAAGGGAGAACCTGGGACGAGCCCCTCACCTGTTTTAGGCTCTTGGGTTGCAAATCTTTCTGGGTACAATTTTTTTGTTTTTATTGCGGTCATGATAGTTTATAGCATTGTGAAATTTCAGTTGTACATTATTATTTGTCAGTCACCATATATATGTGCTCCTTTCCCCCTTATGCCCACCCCTCCCCTTCCCCTCTGGTAACCACTAATCTGTTCTTTGTCCATGCGTTTGTTTATCTTCCACATATGAGTGAAATCATATGATGTTTGTCCTTTTCTGTCTGGCTTATTTTGCTTAACATAATACCCTCCTCCATAATACCAGCTCTCAGCTACGACTCCAGATTTTTCTTTCTCTCATTCATTGTGTTTTTCATCTCCAATATTTCTGATTGGTTTTTCTTTATAGTTGCAGTCTCTTTTGTGAAGAATTCTCTCATCCCTTAGTTTTATTCATGATTTCATTGAACTGCATTTCTGAATTCTCTTGTAACTCGTTGAGTTTTTTTTTTAATGATAGCTATTTTGAATTCTCTGTCATTTAGATTGTAAATTTCTGTGCCTTCGGGATGAATTTCTGGGTGTTTGTCTTTTTCCTTCTGGTCTGGCGTATTAATATACTTTTTCCTATTATTTGATGGGGTGGATTCATGCTTTTGCCTAGTGATAGTATGTGGTTGCAGATTCCAGTTTCCGCCATCGGGGGTTGGGCAGAAGCTGTGTATTCTGAGCCCACTGTGACCCCTGTCAGTTGTGCCTGTCCAAGCCTGGGTCACTCCTTGGGACCACAGTGGTCCTGTGGGCTGCCCAACCAAATGGGGAAGCCATCATGCGGGGGCTCATGGCTGCCACTGCCTGCTCCCACAGTCCTGCTGAGACACACTCCCCCTGCAGGGCTGCAGTGGTAGTATGGGTGTTTGTGGCATCTTGGAACTCATTTGCCTTGGGGCACAGATCTGCTGCCATCTCCTCCTAGGTCACACCAGCCATTGTGCTTGGTGGGTGGGGCCTCCCCACTGAATCTGACCCTGGATCACTCCCCGGGGGCTGTGGTGGCACTGTGGGCTCTCCAACCAGGTGGGAAAGTGACCATGTGGGGGCTCATGGCTGCTGCTGCCTGCTCCCACAGTCCTACTGAGACACGCTAACTCCTTCAGGGCCACAGAAGTGCTATGGGCATTTGCAGCAGCTGGGAACTCTTTTACCCAGGCATGCAGATCTGCCACCATCTCCTCCTGGGTCATACCAGCCACTGTACTTGGTGAGCAGGGTCTCCCCACTGAGTCTGAGCCTGGGCTGCTCCCTGGGTTCTTTGGTGCTACTGTGGGCTCTCCCACCAGATGGGAAAGTAATCACACGGGGGCTCAGGTCTGCCATCACCTGTTCCCACAGTACAGCAGAGGCGTGCTCCCATCCTTGGGGTTGCAGTGGTGCTGTGGGCGCTCCAGCTGGGAAAGCAGTTGCATGCATGCACAGGGCTGCCAGGGGGCTGGAGAGTGCTCACCCAGCTCCACCACCTCCCCAGGGGTAGTCCATCCTCCTTCAGATGTATAGCTGCCTGGGTCTCTCAGGCGTCCTGTTGTGCTGTGTGGGTGTCCTCCATTGATCCACGAATATCTGCTTAGTTGTAGTTTGGAGGGGGAGAGATAAAGGGAACAGCTCACTCCACCACGGTGCTGATATCACTGGGTACACAGTTTTAAGGGCACTGTGAGAAAAAGTTGAGAATTTCTGTTCTAACCAAATGACTAATTCTTCCTTCCTTCCTCTGAAGGTTGGTAACTCTCTGACTAAAAAATTTATAAAATGCAATGTTTTCATAATAAAGGGACATTGAGAAGAAAAGACTACAGGCAGAGGAGAAAATAGTCTTTTTACCGTTTCAAATCTCACGAAAGCTCTTATTTCCAGCTTTGAAAAGTCAGGAAGATCCAGCTCAGAGAAATGCTTAAATCGAGAGGTTTGTAAACTGAGGAGTGAGAGGTGCATAGACGGTCCTCAGGCCTTGCCCCCATTGGAGACACTTGCCCTTGTATCTGGCTGCTATATTGAGATTCCCTGTAAAATTTCAGCTCGGGAAAAGATTCTGCTGATACTGTTTGGAAACTTCAGAACTAGACCAAACTGAGTAATGTTGTGGGCAATTTTTATTTATTTTGAAAAATTAGCTAATTACTTTAAAGATTTTATTTTTCCTTTTTCTCCCCAAAGCCCCCCTGGTACATGGTTGTACCATTTTTACTTGTGGGTCCTTCTAGTTGTGGCATGTGGGATGCCTCCTCAGCATGGCCTGATGAGTGGTGCCATGTCTGCGCCCAGGATACGAACCTATGAAACCCTGGGCCACTGAAGCAGAGCGTGCAAACTTAACCACTCAGCCACGGGGTTGGCCCCAGTTAATTATTTTAAATAGGTAATGTATGTACATGGCTAGGTAAGACACTGTGGCTTCTGTTTTCCTCTCTTGGATCACTCTCTCTAGGGGATGCCAGCTGCCACATCATGAGGACACACAAGCAGCCCTGTGGAGAGGTCCACGTGCGAGGAACTGAGGCCTCCTGCCAACAGCCACTGAGGGAACCATCTTGGAAGCTTTTCAGCCCTGGCCAATCTTTCCAATGACTGGAGCCTTGGCTGGTATCTTGACTGAACCTTACGACAGTCCCCGCACTAGACTACTCAGCTAAGCTGCTCACTAATTTCTGACCCTCAGAAGGGGTGTGAGATAATAGCGTTTTATGCCACTAAGTTTTGGGGCAATTTGTTACACAGCAATAGATGACTAATATAATCACTGGCCCTGATCCCTGCTCCCAACATTGAAGGAATTCAGCTTTATAAAGAAATGGACTCTTGGGGGTTATATAACTACTCTGGATTTGTGGTAGGCAGCATAATGGCCTCCCAAAGGTGCCCATGTCCTAATACCTGCAACCTGTGACTTTGTTAGGTCACCTGGTGGAGGTGAATTAATGTTTCAGAGGGGATTATGGTTGCTAATCCCTGACTTTAAAATAGGGAGATTATCCTGGATTATCCAGGTAGGCCCAACACAATGATAAGTTCCTTAAAAGGGAGGGGAAGGAGTGAGCCAGAGGGAGATGTGACTGTAGAAGCGCGTCAGAGTGTTGGCTCTAAGGATGGAGGGAAGGAAAGCGGCTGTGAATCGAGGAACGTGGGCAGCTTCCGGAAGCTGGAAAAGGCAAGGGAACTGTTTTAGTCGGCTTGGGCTGTGATAACAAAATGCCATAGACTGGGGGCCTTACAAACAACAGACAGTTGCTTCTCACAGTTCTGGGGCTGGGAAGTCCAAGATCAAGGCGCATGCAGATTCAGTGCCTGGTGAGGCCTTACTTCCTGGTTCGTAGATGGCCATCTTCTCGCTATGTCTTCACGTGGTGGTGGGAGAGGTTGAGGGTATCTCTTATAAGGGCACTAGTTCCATTCGTGAGGATTCCACCTTCATGACCTAATCACCTCCAAAGGCCCCACCTCCTAACACTATCACCTTGGGGATTAGGTTTCCACATGTGAATTTTGGGGGACACAAACATTCAGTTGATAGCAGAAATGGGTTTTCCCCTCGAGCCTTCAGAAAGGAACACAGCTCTGCCAACACCTTGATTTTAGCCCAGTGACAGCTGTGTTGGACTTCCAACCTTCAGAACTGTGAGATAACCCATTTGCATTGTTTTAATTTGCAGCAATAAGAAACTAATACAAGGTCAACAGCCAGAAAATGGCAGAGCAAGGATTCAAGTCTGGTCTGTCTGACCGGAAGCTCATCCTCTCCCCTCCACCCCACCCCCGCTTCACCCTGGCTCCCAGATATCGGAGAGACTTATCTTTGTTGCTGCTCATGACGCTAATGACTGAATTCCCAGAGCAGCAAGTGTGGGGAGCTGTGTTACTGTGGGGAGAGGGCAGGCAGGCTGATCTGGCTGCTTAGGAGCATGTGGTTAGAACCCAGATCGGATCTGGTAAATTAATTAAACAAGGAAACCATTAGATGAGGTGGCTGTAACTGTGGTGGCCTACGTAAGCAAACCAAAATCTAAGCCCACAAATGCCCCAGGGTTACAAAATCAAAATGCTAAGGACATGCAGTCACAAGCAGCTAACTAGGCTTTAAGCTACAGTCAACCAATGATTTCCTTTCTCTGCTTCCACACGGCCTCCATGTGTCTTTCCCCTGGCTCCTACTGGCTGAGCTCTCCTAAGCACTTCCAGTTTGGGGCAGCCCAACTAGAATCCATTTTCGCTCAAATGAACTCTTAAAATCTTTAATATACCTCAATTTATTTGAACAGATCCTGACAGCGCTGCGCTATCTCCGCCAAAGTGGGCAGTCTGTGGAAAAGCATCCATCATTTGGTCATTTAGTCAACAAGTATTTCTGAGTGCCAGTGATGTGCAAGCATTGAGCATCTTCTATAAGGATTTAATGGCGACCGTGATAGACATGGAAGCTTCTTGCCCACGTGGAGGTTGCAATCTAGCAGGGAAGAGAAAGTCTAATCCTCACAATAGCTCTGCCATGATCGCCAGCCCCATTTGCAATCAAGAAGGCTGCGGGTGAGCAGTTACAGGCCATGTCCAAGGCCACGAAGCTAGGGAGCGAGGAGCAGCAGAGAAGGTGTTTGACCATGCAATCTAATTCCTGGGCTGGAGCCGTAGTGCTTCTCCGAAGAAAGTCTCAGTCATTGCTTACTAGTGTTGCAGAATTCAGAGTGGTACCTGCTCCATGTGCTACCAATGGCCTGCCTGGTGGAGAAGCACCGGAAGCCATGGAGGATTCCAGGCAGTCAGGCTTGGAAAAAAAGAATAGGGGATCAGAAAGCTGTAATAATCTCCAGATGTTTAAGAGTCTTACATGATGTCGGCATGGAAAACGAGGCTATAAAAGAACATTCGATGCCATGAAAAGATGTTCATGGGATGTGGTTAAATGGAGAAATCGGGTTGCAAAAGAGTCTACCTTATGAGCCTCTCCTCCTTTTTGGGTAAAAAATATACATGCAGGGATAAGAAAAAAAAGCCTATATAAATACACTTCAATGTGTTAACTAGAGTGTAACTAGGTTGTGGGTATAGAGTTGCCAGATTTAGCAAATAAGAAGACAGGACTTCCAGTTACATTTGAATTTCAGATAAACTGCGAATAATTTCTTAGAACAAGCAGTTATTCGTTGTTTATCTGAAATCCAAATTTAACGGGATGTCCTGTATTTTATCTCGCAACCCGATATGGAGGATTTTTCTTTTTGTTTGTGTTTTTGATAATAAATGTATGTTAGTTTTGAAATAAAAAGGGGCACCAACTGGAGTCCTGCCTTGTGTAAGAAGGATTAGTTATTGGTGTGCACGGTGGTCCCACCGGCCAAGTCAGCTAAAGTGGAGCATAAGTCTGCCCTCCCACTGGGACCCTGGCCCGGGCCGTGATTCCCAGCGCTGGCTGAGCGACGCTGACTGCCAGGTGGCGCTGCCGGGCTGCTGGTCCTAGTCGCCAAGGCTCGCAGCGTCAGGGGAGAGGGACAACAGTGCCCCTCTGGGATCCAGCTGGCTTTCGGATCCAGATGGCCCTCAGCAGTCCCCAAGGCCAGAGCCAGAGGTGCAGGAAGAGCTGGGTGCAGAGTTGGAACTCTACCTCTAAAACACACCCCAGGCCCCTTTCCTCTGCAAAGCTCTGCAGCTGCTGGGACTGTGCATGAGTCCGCACAGGGCTGAACAGCGTGTCCACTTCCCTTTCCTCCACCTAGACCCCAGGCATCTCCTCTTTGACTCAGCGCATACTCCTCCCGGGACTGAAAGAGACTCAGTTCCTGCTCTGGGACGCTCAATTGTGGGCAGACTCCGGGAGCGAGGAGGGAAGGTGACTCCTGTCCTCGTGGAAGGGAGGGTCTAGCTCCCAAGGAGAGAGAAGTGAAGTGTATTCGGCAGGTGTTTGGAGATGCTCTGAAATTGTAAATTGCCCGCTGAGTTTATGCCCACAGCTTGGCACAGCACGTGCTGAGCAAAGGAGAAGTTCCATAAATGTTTTTCATCCAGTCAACAAATTCTCTGAGCCCCTCTGTGCCAGACGCTGGGCTAGGCTCTGGGGATGAAGTCCCTGTCCTTCTGGAGCTTATGATTTGGTGGTAGAGAGACAAACAATAAACAGGTAGAATAATGCTATAATTTCACATGGTGTTAAACTCTAGAAGAAAATAAAACGAGGTATTAAGCTCCTAATCTTGTTTCCTGCTGGTCCAGGCTGGCTGTGATGCAGGGGAGGGAGGAACAGGAGGAGGGGGCCAGGGAGAGCCACTCCCATCCTCTGGGCACAGCCGTCAACCCTTGATTCCATCTGGAGGGACTCTTGGGGAGAATATTCTGGGAGCTGC